GGCAGAACTCTGTGGGCCAGGAGATACCCAGGTGGGTCCCCGGAGACCGGTGTAAATGGACACTGTGGGGTGTTTTTAAGGATTTTATTAGCTAAAATCATTTTGTTTTTAAGTATTTTATGATTAGAGATGATTCAAAATCCCCTCTTTAATCAGCCGTAACATTATGACCTCCTTTAAAGGGACATTGTGTAGTATTTTCTAAGTATTTTATTGCCCAAAATCCTTTTCTTTTGAAGTATTTTATTAGCTAAATAGGATTTAAAATCTCCTCTCCATTGGACTGATGTGGTCCTGTTATCTGGTTTGGAACTGGACCGATGTGGTCCTGTTTTCTGGTTCTGAACTGGACTGATGTGGTCCTGTTTCCTGGTTCTGGATCAGTCTTTCTGGGTCTGGTTCAGACTCTGTTCCTCTGATTCCGGCTGTTTTTAGATGGTAAAAGCTCCTCAGGTCTGAGTCCAGATTTCTGACCCGGTTTTTAGGCTCCAGACAGTCTGAAGGTGTCTGATGAAACTTCAGATTTGTCTGAGTTTAACTGGAGGAAGTTGTTCTATCAGCTATTCCGATAGAAGCATGTGCAGATTGAACAGAAGGGGTCCCAGGATTGAGCCTTGGGGAACCCCACAGCTAAGACCCATTCGGGGAGTTTTGATGAAGAGTTAAGCCCCATGTGGTTTCTGAAAAGTGGACCTGTAGAAGAACTTTGAGTGGATTAAATTAGTCAATTTATAACAGAACCGATACAGAAAACGGGTATCTCTGAGACTTCAGTCAGTCAGATGAGAGCGCATGAGGCGACTGTGGGGAGAAAAAACTGGAACCAACCAGAACTGCCTCTGTGGCCTGGCAGGGGCTGAGAAGACAAGAAAGGGGGGCCAACCAGCACTAGGACACCAGGCCAGGACCCCCCACCCCCCCCCCCCCCAGCAGTCTGGGTCTGTAGAGGGAGAAGAGGTGCATCATGGGAGCCCTCCAGCAGAACTATGGGGGGTTTCAGGGTCCCTGAGCACTTGGAACTATCAGCTTTATAAGAAAGGGAAGTCTTATCTTAACTCATTGACTGCCAGCCATTTTCAGAACAGAGTCCCATACTGCCAGAGTTTTTTGAGCATTTTGACTGATTTTTCAAGAGCCACAGAATAGTTTGTGCTATGACTATGTAAACACCGAACACACCAAAAGAAAGAGTAGACTCTCTTCTTTCATCAGGAAAAAAATTGTTTCTACCTTATTCCGTTCTTCCTGGACTTGCGTCTCACCGGCGACATGTTCTCTCATAGAACCGTTACCTTTTTCTTATTTGCCTACAGTCTATGCTCATCTCCCATCAAAAGTGGCACTGCCCCCTAGAGGGTCAATTTGTTACTACATACTCTGTCTAGAAGCCTGATATTTACGGACAAGCTTTAGCAGATCGTCCCCCAAGCCACTCTCGTTGAAAAACATAAAAGACATCTATAGACGTCTTTGGCAGCCAATGAGTTAAAGAGAGGGGGGTCTGCTTCCAGTTCTGCTTTAACCTTCAGCCTGAGCCCCCCCTCCTCTCCTGCGTCCAGGTTCCTGATCGGGAACAAAGCTGACCTGTGTGACCCGCGGCTCTCTGACCGGCAGGTGAG